TTTTGGAGAACATGCGCACGAGTAAACGTGTGTGTACGTGTGTCCCGGGAGCAGAAAAACAGGAGGGAGGAGAGAGGCGAAGCATTCAGTTTGTGAGTGCTCATCGACCCTTCCCGATTAGACAGACAGGGACACTTAAGCACTCTCACACCTGCATCAGCCTTTGCCTTGCGTGGGGGGCAAGGACACCCGCCACGCTCTCACGGCAGCTGCACAAGTGTTTAAAGTGAGATACAGGCAGTTCCTCTAACAGCATATTATTGCAAATAATTTACCCTGCAAAGTAATTATCAATGCTCTGCTCAATATGTAAAGTGTGCACTTCAGGTGGTTTGCTTAATTTGCTCTGGGTGGCTATCATTTGAGGGCGGATTTTAACTGTAGCAGCCCTGGCAATTTCTAATGGAGAAAGTATCAGGAGAGATTGTGAAGTGAGGATGAAGTGCCATCGTAATTGAGTTGACTTTTTGCGAGGGAAGGTCAACAATATCAGTCTCTGTACGGCAGTTGGAGAAAATCTGAATTTCCTCAACCATTTACTTTATTCCAGTGTCATTAGACGTAATTACTTTGTCTGCTGATCGGTTTAGTATGTCGCTGCATCCAAACAGTCTGATTCACCTTCTTTGTAAAAAAGAAAAAGGAAAAAAAAAAGGAAATAATAATACATTTGAAGCAGACAAACATGTATGTGCATGCACTCTGTGGGTTTGTGTGCAGTATACAGCTCATATTAGGGGTTGATTATCTATCCAGTAAACTGGCTGCTCCCCAGCATGGCACAGTCACAATGGAGGGTGATAATTTAATTGTGCTAAACGGCAGATTCTGTGTCAGTGCTCCTCCAGCTGGGAGCTGTCAGGTAGTAATATCTCATTATGGCAGGTGAAGAACCCAGAGGAACCCTACCATGACACCTGTTAGAACACGAGGAACCCCTGAAGGGAAACGCACAGATGATTTTCCCACAATCAAATTCCCTGGCACACATGCACACACACATGTTCGCATGACCTAACACTTCTCCTTTTATCTAAAGCCACCTTCCTGCAAAGAATTAGCTCGCAGTGATTGTTGGGATTTATTATTACTTCAGCTGTAAGCAGTTCATTTTGAGCGAATAACACATTACAAGACCTGTAAAATAAAGTTGTCATTCTTTATTAATTCATATTTATATAGCGGTTTTTAACATACAAAGCACACAAAGGTTTCCATGCTCATTATGAAAACTTGCATGCATCTGTGAAAATGCAAAGACTTTAAACTGGCAAATCACATGATCTAGGATCTTCTGTGGGTCTTCTGATTCCACTTTCGAAAGTCGTAGTCGTAATAAATATTTAATTTTTTATGTGAAAAAGTCAACACTTACGTTTTTTTCAGTCACTACTATTTCTTTTTTGCATTTAAATTTATGGCATAAATTTGAAATCCATCAGATATGTATTTCATTTACCAGTTTGCTTTTGTATAATTATGTGTGCCACTTTTCAACACAACAAACTGCTAGATAAATGTCTTCTTTTCAACCCCTTTTTTGTTTGTTTTGCAGCAACCTTAGTTTGAATTATTAATTTATTATCTTTAGTTTGGTCTGTTTAAAAACATGCGAATGTTCGGGCTCTTGATCAAAATCTGGAGGTGCAAGCATCAGCACTGAGCCAGATAAGTGGGCGAGGCAGATTGGTGGGGCAGACGGTGTGGAGTTACTTATCACCATTGTCTATAAAAGGTAAACTGTGACAGAGCAGATAGAGCGGGTGAAAGCCGGTCAGAACCTTTTATGATGAAAGAGGAAATGGGATACCAGGGGACACATGGCCCAGCAGTCACAAGACCTCCTGAGATGTGCAGTGCACAACACCTCTCTAATAGTGACCAATTACGCTGAGGTTGTTTTGCACGATGATGAAACATTATCTCAGGGAACAATTCATGACTCGAATCATTCCAGGCAATGTGAGCCCATAGCTGGAGAACTTAAATCCTCAGCCTTCAAATGTGCGCAATATTGTCAGCTAAATATAGTCCAGGTCAGTTTTCTGTTTGACCTTGCCTCATCCCTGCTTTAAGACTTCAAAGTAACTGAGGCTTTGTCTTTAAGAAAAATGTTAAGAAGGCAGTGCATCATAGACATCACGACTAAATAAATTTGATTATTTATTAATGTCTGACAACAACACAAAAAAAACGACTTATGATTCACTATTTCTGTTTACTTTATTTCCACTGTTACTTTTGAGCCTATTTTTCAGCAAATCTGTTTTAATTATTAATACGAGTGAGGTTATTGCAAGAAGGCACTATGGTTAAACAAACAGGGCTGTTTTGCAGATTTTTATTTTTGCAAGCATGACCATCAACAGTGTGAACAGTGCTATTCTATCAGAACATTTTATACAATTTTACAAGCTTTCTTAACCCCCATTCAGCTGAATTCTGTTATTTGCACCACATCAAAAGTCTTTGTTGTGTCTGTGCTGCTGTATTCCATATAAATCCCATCTTGTGATCTCCACAATAGATATGACGAATAAAACACTATACAGTTGCTCTCAGATATTTTCAGAGAATTATTGCCACACTTCCCCTTTTCTCTTTCAATAATATGAAGTAGCATTGTATGGGGCTTGTCAGAGGTGGGGGTGGGGCAGAACGATTTCTCTGCACTCTTTAGCGTCCTGAGCGCAGCCCTCCCAGCACTGCTAATAAATTATTAACTCCTGCTGACAAATACTGTTATGGAGCCTGCTGCAGATCTGTTGCATTCTTTAACAAGATTGCTGTAGACACATGTTACAGGAGGATGGAGTCTCCACTGCTCCCTCTCTTCTTTTTTTCTCTGTCTATCCTCTTCTCTTGCTCACGCCTCAGCAGTTTGACTGATGGCTAGAGACCAAAGTAAAAGTGCCTGAGAGACTGAATATTTTAGTGGTAAAATAATACCACTTGATTTACTGTGTAATACAAAAGCTGTGCTTTGTTTCACTCTCACACTCCATTGAAGACAAGGTGCTTGTTGCACTTCAGGCTCGAGCTTTTTGGGAGCATGAATAAAAAATATCTTCGTGAACAATCTACTCCCACCACTTACTCATACCACGTATACACACACACACACACACACACACACATGCTTGCTCTACTTAATATCAAATGCATGTCCTGAACTTTGCTCTGACTCTTGATTTTCAATTAACAGAACACAATTTTGTGCTCATGTTCTATTTGATATAATTGCAGGAAACAATTTAATGGCTGATTAAAATTGAAAGCAAAGTCCCACTAAAAGCACAGCCGACAACGCTTCTAAGTGCAAAAGGAGACACAAACAAGTAGTCACACTCACATCGACACTCCTGCTTAGTCTATCTGACTTAGAAGGTGTGCTTCTAAAGCTACCGATCCAAACCATATTAACTTGAATGGCAATTGTTTCAGTGCCTTTCCACCCTGCAGGACCTTTATAAGAGGGAAAGGAATTAATGAACAGCAGCAAGAGAAAAGGACACTGGGTAGAGATGGTTTGGATATACAAGTGTACGTTATTGTCCAGTGAATTTCTGCATTATACTAAATTCTGTATCAATTTTCTCTTGACCTGATAAAAAAAAAAGTGAAAAACTTTAATCACTCTAGTGTACCTAATCTGCTCTCATCTCAAATTAAAATTTCACCTAAAGCAAAAATGGAAATATATCCTTATCCATTCTTGTTGTCTTTTATTTTAGCTTTGTGGCATTTTCACAGCAGTTTCGAGAGCATAAAATAATCTCAGTGACAAGAATTCCTTGGTGGCAGATGAAAACTAATTACAAAAGTTTGTGCAGAAATAATGTTCTCTTAAGTCAGGTTTCTCTGGGTAAGCTCACAAGCCATCAGATCAAAATACCTTGTTTTGTAACATACTCTTTCTGAAAAGGAACATCCCCATTCGTCTCATGGTGGCTGGCTCTCAATACGGTGCAAGGACAGTGTTGCTCCACACTCTGCCTCAACCTTGAGAACCCCCCCCACCCCCACCAGCACGCTGAGGGTGGAACTAAAGTGCTGTCACACTGACCCCTGTGGATAAAGAAAGAGAACAGGGCAGATGGTCATCAGTAATGAAATGTACTACAAGCAGTACCTCGAGTTTTTTGTCAGAGAGAAACAAATAACTGACTTCACACAACCAAGTTTTCTTTCCTTTTCATGCGCAAGCACTCATCCTTCAGAGAAGATTGAGTCCTAAGTGGTCCCAGTTTATATCTTAATGGTCAGAATCCTCCAGCTGAGAAAAATAAACAGAAAAGCAGCTTGGGGAAAAGCGGATTAAGAGTTAAATATGCTACAGCTGCATCTCTCCGTATGATATGAAGGCCATGTTATTCCCTGTTTAATTTAATAGCAAATGCGTAATTAGATTTACCGGCACAGTGCTTAATTTCATTCATTGTAACACACAGCATGGGTGCAGTCTCATTAACTGTGAGGGAAAAAGTGGAGTCAGTTGTTTAAATTGTACATTAAAACAGTAGACTCGTAAAAGACCAAGAATTTTTTTTTTTTACATTGGAATTGACATCAGGTTTTCCTTGCACCTGAAATGTCGAGTGCACTCAAAACTGTAATATTCATGAAAGCATATGACAGATTTGTGAAATGTCGGCTCAGTTTTTGGTTTTTAACTTACTTAAAATGGGATTTGTTAGTCTGGCTTATTATCATTGTCCCACCACAATTTAAATGGTGTCCTAATCTGACAAATTGAAAAAAGGAAATCAGGGCTTTTTTGTAATTGATTTCTTCAGAGTGAAATTAACTCACACAAGACCAATTGATGAATAATTCAAATGTTTAAACCAGATCGCTTTTAAAAAAAAGAAAAAATATATATATATTACTCGGGTTGTTTAACTTAACTAAAAGAAACAATATTCAGTACTTAACATCTTTTTCTGTGCTCTGTTTTCATTATTTTTTCTTCTTCTTTTTGTTTGCTCTGCAGCAGAGTCATGTCTTCCAAGCAAGCAACGTCTCCTTTTGCTTCTGTGGTTGATGGTGATGATGCTATGAGTCAGGAACACTTGTCTTGGGAGAAAGAGGCGAGTGCAGAGGCCCATGGCACACCACAGCTGCCTCTGCACAGCCTTCTGCATGGAAAAGCCCCCGACGAAATGCAAGCGCTCAGCAGCGTACCATCAGAGAGCGACTGGGACAGTCTGGTGTCAGCTCAGCAGCGCATGGTAAGACATGAGTGAAGCACTTTAGAAAAGAAAAAACACACTAATGCCAGCTAGCCGGTTATACCAGTGACTTCATGTTTTCTATAAAGCAACTTCATACTGATTAGATTTTATTTATAAACAGATTTATCTCATATAAAGATACCATGACTTTTTACTCTTATGTTTCAAGTTCATGGCTATTGTGTTTAGATAATCAAACATCTGTTCAACCCCAAAGAACAATGTTGTACCTACTGGAAATAGACAGAAGAAAATGATCCCAGTAGCTCTGACTCGTCAGTGGCTTCCTAACAGTGAAAAAAGTATTCTTTCTTGCCTCTGTATCAGAAATCTGAACTTTTAGGGAATAAAAAATTCCTTGTTGTGGAGAACTGTCTCAGATATGTCAGTGGATGCTACTGTTTTACTTTCGTCTCTGGACTATTCAGATCCAAGCTTTGCAGGCACTTGTTGTTTCTGGCTTATACAAGAAAACTCAGCAGATACTTTATCCTCATCCCCTCTAGCCCCATGGTCCCCTAATGCTTTCAAACCTCTGGGATTCTGGGGTCTTCAAGCAGAGAACTCTGCCAAACATTAAACCATGAGCTATTATTAGGTCCAAAAGAGGATCTTACGCATTTTTTTTTTATTATTCCATGCAGACAGAATTAAGTCATATCAGATAAATAGAGAACTTGATTTCATGTGCTTCTGATTGCGTCATTTGGACTCCTGTTATAAAAGAAAAACACCTCAGCTTTATCGTATAATATACGTGATATTTTTCTCATTATGTGTGGGCTACATGTGAAGAAAGACCCCAGATGTTGTATATACCAAGTGCGGTGTTGCTTTGATGTGAGCAGAGTGAGGAAGAGCACGGGCTCTTCTGGGCCATAGACGTAGGAGGCAGGTGGTTGTCTATGACAGACGGCTCTGCGGTAAAGAGACCCAGAGGGCCTCTGAAGTAGCTCCGCAGTTGGCTACTGAGACCCTCAACATAGCAGCACAACACATCCATGAACACACAGATGAAAAGCTTATGAAGCAGACTGCTTCACATGATGCTAAAGCCTTATAGTTGATGGTGAGGCTAATCAGCACACGAAGGATTCCTTAGCTTGTAATTTTTACTTCCCAGAAAATCATCACCAGGATTATATTACATTTTTATGATTTAAAACAAAGAAAAAACATAATAATATTAAGAATATAACTGCAATTCATGTTTTTTTCAACCTATGATTTTCATTCTTTCCATTTTTATATTTTTACCACAATCAGAGTTCATGTACGGATTTGACAGCTGTGTTTGATTTAAAGGTAATTGTTTTAAGCATATTTTAGGATTTGAAAAAAATAAAAATAACATGATCTAAAAGGTTGAAAAAGCTGATCAAGACAGGCACAATAAAATATGAGGAGACCACACACTGGATTGGGTGCTGCTGCATTTCCTTTAGTTTTGGATCATTTTAACTTTGTATCATAATATATTAATTTATTTGTTGAAATATATGTAATTTAAACTTTTAGTTTATGGTAACAATCAATGTGATTTTTTAACAAACAATATATACTTATGAAAATGATTACATTTGGTCACATCGGTGCCATCTACTCCATTCCCTTGATCACATTCCAGGGCAGTCTCATGTGATGCAGAAAAGTGGATTCATTTTTTTCATATCTCACATACTTAAAAATAGTTTAAAATAAATATTGATATAAAGGACCAATAGGTAGAGAGGGTGTGCCAAAAAAGCAGAAAGTAAGGAATAAGCAAAAGAGATGAACCATGAAAGAGAAGGGAAAATGAGAGAATGAGAAAAGAAAGGGGAAAAGCATATGGTAGACGAATGATTGTTGCCTTTGCTGATTACCTGACTCTATTGCTGTGCCATGCATCATTGTGGGGTGTGCCCTGAACCCAGGCCAGCTGATTAACCCAGCACTGCTCCACTTCCCTCAAGCGCTCTCCACTGTCTCTGCCACGCTGCATAATCAGCTAGCACAGAGCCGGGAGGTGCAGAGGAGGCTGTTCGGCCGTGCTACTCTGGCGCTTGGTACCAGACCACCCTAAACTCCATCGCAAGTCTGCCTCAAGCTCCACACGCAGCACAGCGATGAGATACTGGCACTCGCAACATTCCTGCTTAGTTTACTGCATTCCTAACAACTTATTTAAAATGTTCAATGATTCCAGATATGGTGGTATCATTTAACCACGCTATAATACCCTCTCTTATAAGTTTAAATGTGCAGCGTGTGTTTGCAACAAATGAGTGCTGGGTTTATTCTTCCGACTATGTGGGCCAAAGTTTAAATCGGAGATAACTGTTTTCCCGTTAAAGCATGTGACTTCTAGCTGCTCAGCTACCTTCTGCTTTCTCAGACAAACCATAATTAAAACCACCTTCTGTCAGTTGCAAGCCTCAGTCACAGTCTGCGTGCTGACTACATGCTCCAAAATGCAGGGTATTTTCCTCCCCCATTCTTCTCCTGGTTTCCTTCGTATCTCTGTTTGTGCACAGGGAGCACTCAGCCAGTCAGCCAGAGACAGGACCCTTAGTTAAATACTAAACCATACACAGGTGGGACTAAAAACAACAACAGCTTGAGACAGGACGCAGATTTATGAACGCGCAAGGCACTCAGCTGAGAATAAGTCTCCAGGAGAAAATGAACAAATTACACAGCAGTCACCCTAACACAAATGTGCTCTCAACTGCAATTTGAAAGATTATAGTTGGGAGGTTTCTCTGTGTAGTCTGTGTAGATGAATAGTAAAGCCTGGGCACATTATGAATATGCCCTCTGAAAGTGTACCTCATCATTTCATCTCAATTTTTCACTTGTCATATCTCATCTATCGGAGAAGCAAGTGCAGTTAGGAAAATACAGAGGCTGCTGTTTGAAAAGCCAAAGAGGAGCCATTTGATTTGGCCAAATCGCCCCAGAGCTGCAAAAACCTAGCAATCACCCAATTTGAATGAAAAACTGTCAAAACGCTCAATGGTCCTCTGACAGAGCACAGGAACACGCTCTCATTTAATAACCATCCCATGCCGCCCCCCCCCCCCCCCAACTTTTTTGTGTGTCTTACAGGAATCTGACAGTAATAAAGTATGTTCCCTGTACTCCTTCCGGAACAATTCGACTTCCCCACACAAGCCTGAGGAAGGGGCCCGGGAGCGAAGCGACCTGCTGAGTGGATCAGCATTTGGAACTCCAGAGCGCCGCAAAGGAAGCCTGGCAGACGTAGTGGACACACTGAAGCAGAAGAAGCTGGAGGAGATGACAAAGACAGAGCAAGACGGTACGACTCTTGTGTGTATATGTGTGTGTTAAGTGAGTGAGCAAAGGAATGCTGTCTTCCTCTTAAATGTGCCTGATCTTCACAAATGTCTCTTACTTCTTTTTACCTTTCATTTCCTGACTCCGACTTGTATCTTTGTCTCTCACGCTAATGCGGGTCCACAAAAACTGGGAATACTGACGTTATCCTATTTCCAGTTTGTTCTGAACTTCCTCCAATGTGACAAAGACTGTGTGGCACTGCACCTCAGCATAAGTGTGGTCCTCCTCCACGCCAAGGAAAACCCGTTGACTATAAAACTCATAGTGCTGACTTGCCAGGAACATTACCTCTTTTTTATTTTTGCAACACAGAACACTTTTCACTCTCCACAGTTATTCATCAACGTCCACGTCCCGCAAACAACCCACGCTTTTTTTCTCAAGGTTTTCACCCATTCAATATGCCTAATAAGTCCATCTTTACTCAAAATAGCAAAGAGCCCAGAGAGAGCGAAATCTTTTTTTTCGTGACAAGACTGTTACGTCTATGCCATATCTGCGCCCATTTCACTCTGATTTGCTCTCCCTGCTACAGCCTGCAGTCTATCAAGAGTATGGCGGAAAAACAAATATTTGAAAGAGCTACTGAAACACACCCTCTTCTTAATTAGGGCTGTAGTAATATAACTAAATCCAATGAAATGTTAAACCCCCTTGGGAATCCATGTGTCTCATTTAGTGTCTGGGGAGCTCTTAGCTTAAGCACTTCATCAGATGAATAAATTAGACCTCTGTTAGCCTAAAAATAATTAGCCACTTCTTTTTTAAAGTGTGCATGTGGCGATCTGTGTCAGAACATCACAGGCCTCCCACCAGATAATCATTAAGTCACATCCGGATATGACTGATTGTTGGTGTTGTTGTTTAGATAACATCGGAAATCTGTTGAGTTTCCACTGAACACCAATAAATTAGAGATCTTTTCAAAAATTTTAAAAATATGGAGAACTGATATGGATCCAAACATCATTTTTTCTCAAATATGGCTTTGCATTTGGAGCAAATCTAATTTGTGTAAGAATTCCTGTCATCACCACACGGGATAATATCCGGTTAGTTTAAAGATTTTGCTTCTCTAAAGTGGGGCCACTGGCACTTTGTTCTACCATTCGCTAAAGTTATTTTTCATTTGTCTTGTTTCTTGTGGAGTTGATCCTCATGGTAAGATTGCCTGTGCTCTCGGTTGCAACAGCGCGCCACTGGCAGTGGCCTTATGGTAATGAGCCCCAGCTGGTGAAGACTGGTTGTTGCAGTAATTCAAATGGTCAAGTGGAGCTTGTAATCCAGGGCCGTATGTTAGTGCACGGAGGAGTGGGTGCTTTGGAGTGCCATACAGCTGTTTTAATCTCCTGTTAATAATAGTGACTTGGTCTGCGTCATGCGCTGTGTATCATCACCACCAGAATACACTCCCTTGTTGGAGAAAATTAGTTTCTGAGCAGGGAACACAGAAGAAGACAAGAGGCTCACAAAGTTCAGCCTGCTGTCCCCATGCTGCATGAGCTGAGAGACACTCATCTCCTGAGAGCACTCAAAGAAGCCTCAGTGGTGATGATCAGTGATTACAGTAAAACGGAGGGAGGGGGGCAATCCGAAGCAGCCTATGTAAAACCTAACATAGACCAGTGAGAAGTCATGTCATGTCTTTGTTATTCAAAGGGAAGCTGCTGTAACCCATTAAAGAACATTTATTAATGTTGGAAAAGTAATTTACTGTCTTAATGGTGTTTCTAATGTGTCACAAGCAACCATGGAGCTAAATATAAAGCTTATTTGCTCATGACAACTGTTGGGTCTAATTTAGCTGCTTTGGTGCCTGCCTGGTTGGGATCATGGGGGTCCTCAGAGACTCTTCACCATCTGCTAACATTCTTCTCTAAGTTCCCTTGTCAGGTCAAGATGGTTCATTGTCTTTGTGACATGAAGATACAACTATTGAGCAAAAACAGGGGGAAATAAAACATCTGATGTACTTTGATTATGAAACATTAAACCACACAAGAGTTGCATTTAGAAGCCTGAATTCACAATACCCTGACTCTGTATTTTGCAAAAGTGGCATCTATCTTAGGGCTTCACCATTTGATAAAAAATGGGGAAAAAAAACAATTACAGTTATTTGGGTGATTTTACGAAATTGACATTTCTGTAGTAATGAGCAGAAGTGCACAAATGAATGGAAAGTAATACTTATACATCCTTAATTAACATTTTATGTCTCGTCAAGAAAATTATTGGCCACATTCACTCATTAACTACAATGCCAAATAAACCCTGCAACAATAGAGTCTGACAATATTATAAGCATCATTCCTCCATCCCTCCTTCTCTATATATTTGTACCCTTTCACCCTTTCTATCCTTCCACCCTTACTTTCCATCTCTGGTCCTTAAAGTGCTTTAAGTGCTTGTGACTGTGCTAATGAATGAAAATGTCCTCCCAGCAGTAAGCGCTGCATTTAGCTGAATAGTCACCTTTGCTGTAAAAGCACTATTAGGCCCAGTTGCCAGCAGGGCTAACGATTGTGCCCCATGTTTATTTACTTGGTATTGTAAATGCATTATTTATGGATAAGTCTCCAGACAGCACTTGTCAAGAGTTAAAAATGTCAGTATTATGTATTCGGGTAAAAAGAAAAATAGCCACCATTATAAAAACCCAAGGTGACCTTGTTTTGATTCATGTGCAATTAGAACAGTTTTATATAATGCACTAAAGTATGAATCAATACTGTGCAAGTCAACACAGAATCCTCGTGTGTTGAGTCTTTATGATTGTCCCCAAGACAAGGACATGTAAAGCGGTTTGAGCTTCCTTTTGTAGATTTTGGGGAATTTTCCTGGACCCAGCACAATATGTCACAACTTTTGTTTTATTTTGCGTGTCTAGCTTTTTACAAAGAAACACTGTTGAATTAAATATATGTTCTGGATTATAGTTATTCAACTTAACTTGTTTCTTGTAGTTTATGATTACGATTATGTTGATAATGACTATATATGAATGAATGAATTCATTCATACATTTGTATATCTTTTTTTTTTTTTTGTTCTGTCCCAATTTATGTAAGCAGAGTGGATACGATACGTGCTCATACAGAATAATCAGCACCCGGAGCTCTTTGACAGAGTCATGGCTAATTAGCTAAGCAAAGGAGAGTCATACCACGAGGCAAACTGCAGGCGCTTTTTAATATCAGGTAGAGGGATATTTAAAGGCCACTGAGAAAAGACTTCTCCTATTACAGCAGCAGGTAATCTCACCATAGCTTGTTCCAAAAAGCAGCACAGCAGGGCTGGCCACTGGACTAATTGTGTCCAGGGCCAGGGTTATACGTGTGAATTGTGTGTGGTTCCACGTTACCACTTAGGCCTGTGTTCCTCTCCCTCTTCTCTATTTGTAAGTGTAATCCCCTGGCGAGGCTGTGTATTATCACTGTATAATGACCATGCAGTAGGTTGAGCGTGGGGGGGTGATCTGCATTGTGTGAGTTGCTCCAGGTCATTATCCGCTATTACAACATGCCATGTAATGAGATTCAGGGATGGGTGAAAGGTTCGGAAGAGAATAGGATCAGCTTCGAGCCTGTGGTTTGATTAGCACTGATGAACTCTTGACTCTGTTGTAACACTGTTCCCTGTTACGGCTCCTGCTCACTCAATGTGGAGGCTCTCTAGAAATTGACTGCAGGTGTTGATGGTGTCAACACATGTATATTTGTGAATTGTAATCGACTTGAAATCAAGCATTAAAATGATCTAGCTAACCTTTCTAAAGGTTCATTATACAGTATATGGCCAGCATTATACATTATATTTGAAAAACGCACCTTCCCCCCAAAACAGATTGATACACTTTCTTCCTCCTCTTTTAGTTCCCTCCCTTCTCCCCTCTCATCTCATCCCAGCTGCCATGTCATCTGGTTCTGCTTTATCCAACCTAATTAATAGGAATCTTTGTTATAATGATCTGAGCATGAGCCTCTAACCCATACATATGCAATGAGGGCTGGAAATCCAGTTGCCTTGGCTGCTGATTTTGAGATAGTCTTCGCACATTGCTCTACACTGCAACTGACTGAAGCACCCTTCCAGACAGGATAAGGCCAGGACCTTCCTGTCATGACTTTTTCACAGGCCAAACATCTGTCAAGCATGTCCCCTGTGTGCCATGTTCCAACAACCTTTGATAATCTGTTGTTTCTGTCAACAAATTTCAGCATGCTCCTTATCTTGATAATCTATTTGATCAAATAGCCAGCATTTCTGTGTACGTGAGTGTGTGTTCGCGTTTGCATATATGTGTCAGTGGGGGCCTTCCTGCGTGTGTGCGCGTGTCTGTTCTGTCTTGGCCCATGGTGGAGCAGCTCAGTGGAGCAGTGCTCTAGTCTGTCACTTTTGTTTGAATAGGTAATGTAGATCTGTTCAGGCTGAAGAGACATGAGCTGGAATCGCTTGTTAGGACACATGATCAAAAGTGGCTCTCTGCTCTCTGCCAATCAACCCTCTTGTCACCCGATGAAGCAGACGTTAAATAGATTTTTCGGCTGTGTGCCGAAGGCAGCATGCCAGACTGACATGTGAACTTTCTCAAAACCAACACATGGCCTCACACTCTTTCCTTTTCTTACTTTGAATCCTTTCCTTTCCTCTTTGGTTTTTGCTTATCCCCTTGTTATGTTCTTCTGTCATTTTTTGTCAGTCTTCTACCTTATCATCTCGTCACCCTTATCTGGCCCAGATCAACATTTTCCTTCCTCCTATGAATTCTGTTTCCCACCCTTTTTTACTCTCCGCTGACAAAGTTGCTCTGCTGCCAGGCTGAGATCAGAGCCCACTGCTAAATGGAGTGGCTGCATGAGAGTAATAGTCAGCCCAGAGAGCCTGGTACACTGCTGAATTATGTATTTACTATCTGTTCCAAAACAGAGCCCTCACATAACACAGGTCTGCCCCCA